TGTGACTGCTGCAACATAATTTAAAATTCATACACTTGGAAGTCCAATTTTTTATCTGATACGTAGATAAAAATAATAAATAATAATGTTTATGTATTTGCTATAATGTTTTGTATTGTTAAATTGAAATTATTTAGAGCCCCGGGTGGCGCCATCTGGTGGCACTAAAAAAATATAGTTTAAAATAGTGAATAAAAGAAGTTAAATTAAAGTAAGAAAAAGTAAGTAAAGTAAAATTAAGTAAAGAAGTTAAACTAGAAAATTCATCATTTGATTCATCGTTTTTAAGTAAACTTTTTTGTTTCTATATTCTATAATATAAGCTTAACATTCGTTTTTGGCATAAATTTTGAATTTTGTTCATTTACACATATTTATATAACTTCTCTTTACATTTTTCCAAACAATAATTTTTTCATCTTTATCAATGTTTTCACCCACAATTGAGATTTTCTCTTGTTTTCTAAGCACATTTCGCCGATATCATTTTCTAATAAAGTGTACAAAATCTAAAAATATTTTGATTTTGTAGGCGGCAATGCCAGGTCTTATCTGTTAGTATTCTTATAAATCTAAAATATAACAAAACAATTCAGTATTTTCAACACTTTAGAAACTGTACATTACTGAACTGTACATTAATTGTAATTTCACTGTCTACAATATGTTAATCTTTATCATTATCCTCAATATTTTCAGTATTTGAGATATCTCAAAATACAGATCTATTCTTAATTCAAAATATTGTATGCTAATATTTATTAATCGTATTGGTATAAAGTTCAGTCTTGATATAAGATTTTACTTCGTAACTAAGAAAAGTGCTTATATTATAGGTTTAAGTCGTAGCTAAGAAAATGTCCAGATAAATAGTTCATCAATGCAATTTTTTTTTTTATTTCATGAAATAAAATTTAATGTTCAATTATGCTTTAACCTATGTAAGGGATGCAAACTGTAGTTCAAATAGCACTTGAATCGCAATCCGATAACTCCCTTCTGATACGTAATAGATATTTTCCTGATAATATTCACAAATGTAAGCTTTATAAAGAAATCTATATTGAAAAATCTGTACATATATGGAACAAAAAGTCACAATTTCAGTAATTTGGTAATAATTGAAGTAAATAGTAAGTTACATTTAGTAAAATTTTTCTTTAAAAAACAAAAATAGTAATTAATTAATAAAATATTACTGCTAATTAACTACATTCATTAACATTATTTTATCTTATTTAATTCACGTGTCTTTATATTTTAAAAATTGAGGACAAAGAATGAATATGCATATTTATTTTTAAGTTAAGGATTCAGATGATCATTATAACAATATAGACGAATAATATATTAAAAATATTAGAAAAAAAGCCAAAATATTAATGTGTTAAATTTTCAGTTATAAAAAATAGTAATGTGTTAAATTTTTATATTCATTTCTTGTAGTTTTATAAAATATAATGCATTATATAAAATTTAGCACAATATTGAATAAGTTTAATTAATTTTTATAATATTATGCTATTGAATTTCGACTTACCAGGCGACTGTAGTGGAGTCTTTTGATAATATTGAATGTATTGTGGAGCTTGTTGTAACTGTTGCTGTTGCATTTGCTGTTGTTGTTGTATTAGTTGCTGCTGCTGAAGCTGCTGTTGTTGAAGCTGCTGCTGTTGAAGCTGTAACTGCTGTTGCTGCTGCTGCTGTTGGTGGTGCCTCATAGTCTGGTAATGCATAGCTTGTTCTATCTGTGCAAAAGGGGGCACCGTGATCTCGCTGGTGTGTCTGCGCCGTCCCTTCTTTGGAGAAGGCTGGGGAGACATTTTCGGCTGCAGTCGCCGCAACGATTCCACGCTGGACCCTAAAATAGCCGCTGACGGTGCGATCGTTGTCGTTGGGGTTTGACGATGTCGCTTTGAACCGTCGTTCCATTGCTCTGAGGCGGACACCACCGTTGTTGTTGCGGTCGTCATGATGGTGATGTCGTCGTCAGAGGGTCGTCGCGTGCCAGGGTATTTGGGTACAGCATCGGGAAGTGAGGTTCGTGAAATTTGCGGAGTTTTGCGTCCTGATTCAGACAATGCTTGTTGCACAAACATATCCTGTTGGCTAGCATACTGGGATGACGGAGTCTGCGCTTTGTACGGAATCTGCGGTTGAGTTTGGTACTGAATCATTTGAGGTTGGTTTTGATACTGAAGCATCTGTGGTTGACTTTGATAAGAAGATAGTGACTGTTGCCCTTGCAAGGGAGTGCTGGCTTGACTTTGTAAAGACGTTTGAGGCTGAGTTCTATAGGGAGATAGTATTATGCTTTGGTTTTGCGAAGATTGCGTTTGCATTTGTTGTAGAGGCTTACTTTGGCCTTGGTAACTAATTGATGTTGACATCTGCATTTGAGGTAGTGATTGAGATTGTGATTGAGCTTGAAATGTTGATTGACTCTGTATCTGTTTAAGCAAAGCAGCCTGCTGAGATTGGAAATTTGCCAGAGATTTTGAAATCGTTGAATTCAGATTTTCTTCTTGTTTTTGTTCTGTCGTTCTCTGTTCAGAGGGAACAGTAGGTTGAGGAGTCACAGAACGTTCTCCTTCTCCTCCAACTTTACCTCTTTGTTCCAGCATAACTTTTCTTTCTTCGGTAACAGCTTTCAATTCGTCTCTGAGCTGTTGCTTAAGATTTTGCATGTATTGTGGTAGTTTTGAGCCAGATGTATCACTTCCTGGACTTGGTGTTCTGGATGTATTTCCTTTTCTACCAAGAAGAGGAGATAAACTGTTTCCCGAGGAAGTAGTTGGTGGAGTGCCAAGGGTAGATGCTGGAGAATACTGTTTTGAATTCTCGACTGTTGTTGCAACACTCGTAGTTACTGTCAGAGCTGCAACAGGAGTTAGTTGTGGTGCTGGACTGGAAGCTTCAGAATCCATGAAATCTTGGCTATCAATAAAACCATTTTTGGTGCGGTCAGCGAATTTCCTTGTTGGACTAGGAGATGGACACTGGTCTGGAGGAAGATTAGGAAGTTTGCGTCGAAGCCTAACTGATTTTATGCTTTCTGCTTCACTTTGAGTATCTGATGAATCTCCACCAACCTATTAAGTAAAAAGTAAATTTTAGTTACAATTTGACAGCAATGGGGAAATGCATATTTAAATACGGTTTAAAGTAAGTTTATAAGTTTCAAGTTTATTAAAGTAAGTATAAGTTAATGTAGCGTAAGTTAAGTACGAATCATTCAAAAGTATTAAGTAATGTTAGGAAATTCTCTCGAGCCTCTGTAAATAATTATGTTATTTGAATTTTAAAAATAACTAAAACCCTTAGTTTAATGATAATTTAGAAGTTAGTGACTAGGACATTGAAGTGACAATGTTATGCGTATTTGTGGAGCACATTCTGAGTGGAAACTGAAATAACACAATGTTTCAAACCGAAATAACACAATGTTTTAAATAAATGAATCTCTATCGTCATATTGGTTTTAATTTATTTTTATCTGGCTTGGTAAACAAAATGTTTCTATTTATGCTACATGTATCTATAACAGTATCAATATATCGATGACGATAGTAACATTTAATCAGTAAAATTTTATATTTGATCTGCATTAAATCATCATACGAGAAACGAAAGATCAAGATTGGTACTGTGAAATTTAATGGGATTGTAAAAATTAATAAAAGTGAGAGTAAATTTCTTTAACGTTAAGAAGAATATAAGTATATTTATATTGCTTCATTTTTCTAAGTAGCAGAGTTCGCTAGTAATAATTTCGATGAATTTATGTACTATGTGAATGTATTTCTATTTTAAATTTTGTAGAAACCCAAACCGAGATTAAAAATATACTTATGCACGTTTAGTTTATGAGAAAAAATATTTATTTTCTCTTGTCATTTTTAATCATAAAGCATAATTACAGAATAAGAATTTTTAACAAATTTTTGACTTTTCTAATAAAGTTTTTTTTAATTTCATATTTTGGCAATCATTTGAATATGAAGCGTTATTCTATATTTTTGCTATTTTTTTTTTGGTATGTTACCTTATCACGTGGTGTACCAGGTGTAAGAGGAGATCCAGCTGAAGTTGTTGCGATTTCTGAAAACACATTGTTTATAGCATGAGGACTAATAGGTGGGCCACCATTGAGTCGTGCTAAAAGTTCATCAGAAGCTTTTGGAGAATTGTTCCCTCCGTATGAAGCTGAACGAATCCTCCTAGCTTGAGGTGTTGGAACGGCTAGTCAAAAAAATAAGTAAATTAATCTCTGATTACATACTGATAAAGATAGTACTTCAAACACTTAAAAACAAATGCTGTTATTACCGTCTTGAGAGTTGTTGGATTGAACTGATTCTGATACTTTTTGTCCATTGTTGTTACGGGATTGATTTCTAGGAGCAGGACTTGGTATAGTCTACAATGAAAATTAAAATAAATTGTTAGCATATTAAAAATCATGCAAAATATGCATGGTTTTTTTATGACATTTTTTACCTTGGCCTCAATTTAACAAGACATTTTTTAATTTTATAAATAACTTTTTCTTCATTGGTGCAACAGCCTCATGGTCTGTTCTTTTTATGGAGTAGGGGTATCAGCCCTATGCCAAACAGTCATATTAGACCGGGACCTACGGCTTAAAGTGAATTCCGAACCTCTACAAACATCCATGGCACCTCCGGGACTCGAACCCTGTGGCACCGAGCGCCAGAGTGCTAGTCACTTGGTCATGAGGTCCCTCCTATACATATAACTAATTCAATAAAACTTTTCAACTAGTATACTTTCTTTTGATTTTAAATTTGATACATATTAGTAAAAGTTTTGCATTGCTATAAAACTAAACAAATTAATTTTAATCCTTTTTTTTTTTTCTTATTTACACAAAAATGAGGAAAATTAAACTATTTCAAGGTTTTATCCGAATATACTTCATTGAGAATCATATCTGCCAACTTCATAAATATCTATTTTGCCAACGCATGACCTTTTATATGAATATACCGGTTCTCGTTAGATCACCGAAGTACAGCATCTGGGCGCTAATCAGTACTTGGGTGGGTGACCACCTGGGGACACCGCGTGCAGTTGGCTTTAAATCTGGGACCTGAATGGCCGAATCATATGAGTAAAAAAAATTATTTCCTTGTTTCATAGTGCGCTCGGTGCCACAGGTTTCGGGTCCGAATTTTGCATTCCTTTTATTTTAAAGTGCCATTGGATTGTTTTTCAATTAATTATGTTCGGAATCCACTTTTTTAAAAGTAAAATAATTAAATAGGTCCAAGTCTTATTTATGATTTACTGATAAGAGCGTCTTAGCTCTGGAGATATATATAAAAGTCATGGGCTTCTATGCTACGGGTGCTCCATCCCAACAGAAGCTGTACTACAGTTCCCCTTCAATTATTAGTCTTAAAAAATGTGTGTTATAGTTCATGAATTTAGGAATTTTCATGATTTTAGTAAATACCCATCATATAATTTTTTTTTTTCTTAATATTAGAAACATATCTATTTTTTTATATCGAATGATTTTTTTGTAAATTATAAATTAAAATGCAATTAAACATAAATTGCACTTTTTTTTTTTTTCCAGTAAATACCAAAAATAATATTTCTTAAGTTTAAAATTTTTTTCAAAAATGATCCGTACTATTGTTTGATATTGATGTGAAGCATATGATTTTATTTTTCAAATTCTATAAATAGTGTCAATAATTTTATTTTTAAAAAAATTATAAACATCGTTTATGGTTTTTTCAGTAAAAATGCATATTGAACTTTAAAAAAGTAAATTTCAGAGCTTTTAAAAATACTCTAATTATTAAAATTATTAATCTATAAATATTATTTATTTTAATTATTTTAGAGGGAAAAAAAACATACTTTTATAGTAAAGAATGATGCAAATTTTCAAAAGTTTTTTTAGTTGAAAAATTAAAAGACAAAGTAAATTTGACAAATATTATATTGTACGTATTTATTTAAACAATTTTAAAGGAAAACTAAAGAAAACTGTCATTAAAAATATAAAAAATTCCTAAAATATTCATTAATTTTTAAAATGAAAACAATAATAAAGTTTTCTTACCGTTTGATTATCCACTGTTGGTTTTGTAGGTGTTTGTTGGTTGTAAGCTTGTTCGAATGATTGATTTACTTCTGGACTTTTCCATGCTGGTGACACCTGTGGTTCTACTAATGTCTGTGGAGTGTCCAATCCAAACAATATAGCTCCTGTTGTGCTATAATAAAAAAAATTTTGTTGGAAAAAATATTCTGGACATACACTTTAATTTGCATGTTAATAAATACAGTGCAATTTAAAATGAATGATAGAAATATACAAATTTTTCAAAGTTTCTTCATTTTCTCAGTGTTGCAACTTTTTCTCAGCTGACGTCTGCACAGTTAGTGATTTAATAGCAGCATTTATCCATTTGTTTTAATTACTGTAGGTCATGGAGAAGGGGAAATAGAAACACATTGTCCTTCACCTACATCCCTCTATACCACAAGGAGTTAGACTCTAGGTGACATAAAGGCTTGGTCCATAACTGTATCAAATTTAAACTTAAATTCTTTTAATTTTAATTTAATTTTTTTTTATTTTGTATCTCCGTATTTTCAATATTTTTTAATTTTTTTAGAGTACCGTTTATTTAATTTTTGAAACTTTATTTTTTATCCAATGCTATCATTTAAGCAGCAATTTAAAATTGTAAATTTATATATGAATTAAGATGAGGAGGTTAAGGGGTCTATCCCCATTGGTACTCCGTAATAGGTGCGCCAGTTGCCAATTGCCAGTAACATAAAGGACCCCCAACATCAATAACACACCATTTGGGCTAATATAATGATGGGGCAGATTATTGTTGAGGTAACTACGTACGTGGTTGTGTCACTGTGTTTTAGCACCATGTTGCTCCAAAATGAAGAAACAGATATTTTCTTTCCTCTGAAGCAAAACATCTCAAAAAAGAATCATGTAACCGGATATTTCCCTAAACAAAAGGCTTAAATATATTTCAGTTAATTCTAGGAGTAGAAAAAGTTTATCTCTGAAAGATTCTGCTCATGCTGCAGTGTCACATGCAGATTTTTCAAGTCCTAAAATCTCAAATTTCTGCATGCTTACTGTGCTACAAAAGTGATTAAATATTGTTTCGTCTGCAAAACAAGTCAGCTTTTGAAACCATTTTTCTTCAGCTTTGATATCAAATCCATGATACACTGATTTGCTTAGGCTTCATCATTAAATTTCATCAATGTTTTCCACCATTTCATGGTTCATGGAGGGTCTCTTTTATTTTTCCTTGGTGGAATGGATGGAGTCTTTTATTTTTTCTTAATGGAATGGATGATGTTCTTTATTTCCTAATAATATAGATTTTTTCATTATTTATAGCTCTTTTATTTATCTTTACTTGTCTTATTTTATTTCAATGCGATATGTTAAATGAATACTCCTGTTTTGTTTCCACCATAATTCTTATATGCATATTAGGCTTGTACAAATATTAATGTAACTATTAGTTTAACTACGTTGATGATAATTAGCAGTCAACCCCAGTTGACAAAACAAAAGATTAACGGTTACTTTTAGCAGTGAACTTTAATTTGACGCTAGACGGCGTTAGAAGCCTATTTGTGTCAACAGTTGAATTCAACTGTTTGGATAGGGGCGGTTTTTTAACAGTTGATCTCAGAGGTTATTTTACATACCATTCTTCACGGTAGGTAGAATTAGGAATAGCACGCAAGTCGATTCAACCCTCCAGGTTAGCAAGGGTTTGATATTAGCAGTTGAATTTATGCCTATTAAAAAAATCAACTTCTTGAACAGGGAAATGCTTATGTTTATCCAGAATTGTGTTAAATTTTACTCCAGTTAAATTTAGTTATCACAATCACGGCTGAATTATTTTTGGATTCCACCTAAGTTCAGCCTATTTTAAACTTTAAGCATTCTTATTAAACATTTACACAGTCCAGTCACATTAATGGGACCACCACCTACTTTCGACGTCAGCGTGAAATAGCCAATCACAAAAGGCAGGGGGCAGCACATTGCAGTGGAGTGTATATAAAGAATTCCACTTAATAACACTTAAATATCACTTAATACCACACCACATTCCATCTAAAGCCAGAATATATACTCTTGTATATTCTGGCTTTTGACAGGTGCTCTGTGTATACTACGGTAGACTGTGTATATCGCTTGATAGTTAGTATTTAATTATTTATTGTTTGGTCTTTTTTGTATTTTATTATTTTTTAATTGCTTTTGAATGATTAAATTATACGTACATATTACAATGAATACTTGGCAAATGAGATTGCTCTAATAACTTAAAAATACGATAGGTTGCGGCGATATCATATAATGCATACGATATCATATCATACACATATTTTTTCTTTGTTTCAATTCATCAATTTTATTAAATTTTTTATCAACATGTCTTGTTGAAACCATCAATGATGAATCTCCTTTATCTTTCCTCTTTTTTTTTTATAGAAAAATCTTTTGGAGGAAAGATTTTTCTTCGAAAAGAGTGTTAATTTTAACCGAGAATACATTTTTAGATGGATCAACAGATCAATTTTTTCATACATAAATTTATGATTGTCATCTTTTCACAAATACATTCAAAAAAAAGTTATAAATATTCAAGTACGGAAAACATCATATATTTAAATCCTTATTTGCTTTATCTTTTTTTTTTAATTTCTATAATATTTTTATAATTATAAATAAATCATTTATTTTATTTAATTAATCAACATATTCAATCTCATTAAATAATTCTAACAAGCCTTTTCTAAAAATATCTATTTTAATATAAAATTTTAAGAAAGAAACCTCAAAATTCTGTTATATAATTAATTTAGTTCATTATATTGAATTAGAAACTTATTTTTCTGTAGATGAAAAAATAATTGGTGCAATTGTTGGGTACAGAAAATAAAACACAGAAATGTAACGTTTCTCTTGGTAGGTCGCCCGATAAATATATTGTTACAGTTCAAATTAAGTCTGTTATATAGTAAAGTATTCATGTACTTAACTTAACCATGCATTTAAAAATTAAGAATTGTTAAATTTAAAGATTAAATTTACCAAATAATTTATATAATCATTAACGATAATTAATAGCCTTTCTCATAATGAATTAATCTCCTTACCAACTCTACCACCTTAAATATCTAATACACTTTCCTTTCTTAGAAAGCGTGCAGTTTTACTTGCTCATAAAATAATTAATCAGCTTTAATTTATAATGATTGTTAATTATTAAGGAAAAATCAATTTAGAGTTATACAGAATTTTTATTCTCAATTGTATAAATGCATTATCGATCATAAGAGCAATAACATTTACCACTGATTAATACTTATTTATTTCAAACTATTTTAAAAATTAATTAAAAATTAAATATTTAATATAATAGATAATAATTAAATAAGAAATAATTAAATATTAAATAGAACTCTACTAGAGTTCGATACTATCACTACAAAATGCAATTTACAAACTAGAGACTTGACTTTGTAAGGTAACGGCGGCCCAACCAGATCAATGCCTCATAAACTAGCTCCTTCTAAATGCATTACCCTGTGTTCCCCTAACCAGCAGATTACTTTACCTGGGGGGCTGGGGGAAATTTACAGAGTTTTTATTCTCAATTTTATAAATGCACTATCGGTCACAAAATCAATAAAATTTATCACTGATTAATACTTATTTATTTCAAACTAATTTTAAAAAATAATTAAAAATTAAATACTAAATATAATAAATAATAATTAAATATTAAATAGAACTCTACTAGTGTTCCATACTATCACTACAAAATACAATTTACAAGCTAGAGACTTGACTTTGTAGAGTACCGGTGGTCCAACCAGATCAATGCCCCATAAACTAGCTCCTTTTAAATGCATTACCATGTGTTCCCCTAACAAGCAGATTACTTTACCTGGGGGGCTGGGGGCTCTTTTCTCTCGGCCCCTGGGCTGCCATAGCAACGGCGGCTTGCATCTGCTCGACTGTTGGTTGTGGAAGCCTCCGGTGGG